TGGATATAAATAGCCAGGATTTTACAAATTTATTTTTACATTCTGCAGTCTTTGGTTTTGCACACATTGAAATGCAAATGTTTGCATGTGCTATCAATAACATCTGGTAAATATATATGTGAGAGGAGATAAGTAATGAGCTGGTAGCACACACACAGGAGACAGCATATCAACAGCAGTCATTAGACTCTGCCTGATTGTTACCATTGAGATTTGTGCTAATTTCCAAGCACATTACCACCCGAGTGTGTTAGTTTCTCAGCATCATTTCATGCCATTTCCTTCCAACACCCCATTGTGAATATGGCTAGAAGAAGACAACTTTCTTCATTCAGGGCACTGCGAATCTTTGAACTTTTATACATAGAACTTTGTGGAATCTCCCTCATGGAGTCTTTAAAGCTGAGATATACAGGTTTTAGTGTCTCAAGAAACAATGGATAAGGGAACTAAGCGGGAAATGGAGTTGGGTAGCAAGTCAAACGTGATCATTTTGTTTTATCCACTCACTGAATGTGGGTTTTGCCAATGGTCAGTATTTATTGACCATTCTGAGTTGCCCTTGAGAATATGGCTGTGAGGTGCCTTCTTAAATTATGACAGTCCATTTGATGTAGATAGACCCACAATGCCATTAGGGTGTGTGTCCCAGGATTTTGCCCCAGCAACACTGAGGAAGCAGTAATATATTTCCAAGTCAGTAAAGTGAGTGGCTTAGAGAGAAGGTTGCAGATGGTGGCGTTCCCATGAATCTGTTGCCCTTGTCGCTCTAGATGGTAGTGATCATCAGTTTAGAAGATGCTGTCAAAGGAGCCATGGTGAATTCCTGCAGTGCATTTTGTAGAGGGCGCAGAGTGCTGTTTCTGTAGATCATAATTGGAGGGAGTGAATGTTTGTGGATATGATGCCAGTCAAGTGGGCAGCTTTGTTCTGGATAGTGTCAAGCTTTTTGAATGTTGTTGGAACTGCACTCGTCTAGGCAAGAGGGGATTTTTGAGAGCAGAAAACAATCTTTAAAACAATCTTTCATGGTCTTGGGAGTGATGTATTGGTGTGAATAAAGGATTGGCTGATGAACATGAAACAGAGTTTGGATTAATAAGGTTCACAAAACAGTCACTAGTAACATACTGCAGGGATCAGTGCTGGGCCTACAACCAGTTATGAACTATATTCATAATTTGGATGTAGATAAGGTTAATGGCAGGTGTCTTTTCCTTAGGGTAGGGTATTTTGAGAGTAGGGGGCATATTGTAAGGTGAGAAGAATATTTTAAAAAGACATGAGGGACAATTTTTTTTACACAGAAAGTGGTTTGTGTGTGTGATGAACTTTCAGAGGAAGTGGTGGATGTGGGTATAGTTACAAAATTTAAAAGTCATTTAGATGAGTACATGAATAAGAAATGTTTGGAGGGATACTGGCTAAGCGCAGGCAGGTGGGACTAGTTTAGTTTGTGATTATGGTCAGCATAGACTGGTTGGACCAAAAAGTCTATTTCCATGCTGTATGACTCCATGACTCTTTGACTGTGTAACTCTATGAAAGGACAGACAGTATTGTATTTGAATTTGCTGATGTTAGAAGATAGATAGGGAAAATAATTGTAAGGAAGATGGAAATAATGTGCAATGTCATATAAATAATTTAAATGAGTAGGCAAAATGTGGCAGGTGTATAATGTGTGGAAATATATGCTTGTCCATTTTCATAGAAAAATAAATTATTTAAATAGTGAAGGACAGCAGAATAACATGGAGGGATTTGGTCTTATGCATAAGTCACACAAAGTTGGTAAGCTGGTACAACAAGTAATTCAAAAGCGAATGGGACGTTGGCTTTTATTGAAAAGAGATAGGGTATAAAAGTTGGGAAGTCTTGCAATGATTTTACAGGTCATTGGTGAGATTGTACCTGAAAAACTGTGTGTGGTTTTGGTTTCCTTCTTTAAGAAGCATTAAACCTGCACTGGAAGCAGTTCAGAGAAAGTTCACCACTAAGAATCCTGGGACAAGGGACTGTTGAGCAAATTTGGCTATGCCTAATGGAGTTAAGAAGTCCGCGAGATGACCAGATTGAAACCCAAGAGATTCTGAGGGAGCTTGACAACTTGGACGTTGGGAGGATCGTTCCTCTTGTGGGGAAATCTAGAATTAAGGGGAGTGGTTTAATAAGAAAGGGCTTCCCATTTATGATGGAGGTGAGCATAATTTTTTTTTCTCAGTGGGTCACAAATCTTCGGAATTATTTTTCACAGAGTTAACAGCTGAATCAGTGAATCAAGGCTGATTTAGAGAGATTTTTAATTGACAAGGGAGTTAATGTTTATGAGGAACAGACAAGAAAGTCAAGTTAAGGCCATGATCAAATCAGCTCTGAGCTTACAAAATCGCAGAGCCAGATTGATGGGCTAAATGATCTACTCATAATTCTGATTCTGTTGATTTTATGCACTAATGTCAGAAAAGAGAAAGTAAATCCCTGTGGATCATTTCTGACCAGCTGGTGTGAAGCATTAGATTTGTTTCGTACATTACAAACAAATAATTTAAATATAAGCAAAGAAACATAACTGACTGTTTTAATCTTCGTATACTGGGCCCAACATGATTCAACTCCTCTACATGAATAAAAAATATGGGACAAATTTCAACTTATTAGGTCAACAATAAATACTGGACAATTCAATATTGTACATACACTGTTTAATATGGAGGGTAAATTCTCTCATATTTATCCTGTGATCAGCCTTTGACAGAAAACAGTCAAGGTAAAGAGGCCAATTTACTATAATTTTCTTCTATGTTATGAATGATATGTTGATAATAGTTTTAATATTCAATTGCTTGTCAGGGATTGATAAAAAATCACAGGTTAGTGTGTTTAAAACAATGAAACATTTCGCAAATTATGAAGCAAACATCAACCAACTGATTTCTGTATGTAGATTGTAGACGCAAAGCTGACCAACTGGCAGAGAGTGTCACAACATTGTATACTCAGCATAAGGTGTCCTTAAAAGTGAATTTTCTTAAAGGCAAGGTACACTTACAACAACGGGAGTCACTTTATGTGGCATAAAAACAATGAGCATGTGGCAGTGACCTGATTTTCATGTACACTGCCATATTTGTTCTATGTAGCATTTCTAGGTTGAAAGAGAACAAGAAACAACAGGCATCAATTAAAATAAAGAAGTGCTTCATTCTAATCAAAGTAAGAGAGTTTGAATTTGCTTGTTTGGATGTCAATGTGTCAAGAGTTCTTAACTGGATCGTGGCCATAATTAAAATTTACCTATGCTACTTTAAAAGCCTATGATATAACAATTTACATTTATACAATTGATTGTTTTAATCACTAGCAGCTCTCAGTAAATTTCATTTTTTTTGTGTACGTATAGTGAAACATTGATTCTTTATGTCCTACCTGTCCTATGCGTTTCTCCTTTGTTAGTGTCTACTTTTTTTTTAAGTAAACCAGTTTGTTGTGATACGAGTGACAAACGTGAAATTTAACCATTTTCTGGTTTTGGGCATATCTAACTATCAATTTCTTTATGAAATATCAATTTTCGGCAATTAGAATGAACCACTTATTAGTGGCTTACTGAGTGGAAAGTGAATATTCTTGGGAAGTACATTGTCAGTGATACATATTCTTTCATGCTCGTGAAAGATTTTGACTTGACAAGGTGTCAAGAGTTATTCAAATCATACAGAGAGCCCTAAAGAGGAGCAATCAGATAAACCACATGTAAACTGAGCACTGTGGGATCCTTTGTTTTATTACACGGGCATTGTCAAGATAGACCAAGAGGACCAGAAAAGCACAGACCATGAACCTGCTTGATTCTCACTTCCGTTGAGTCAACGGAAGAAAAGTTGGTCAGGTTCAGAAACAAGCCCAAATTTTCAATTCTGAAATGGCAATTCCTCCTCAGTGGATTTTCCTTTCTACAGTTTATCTCGGAATTATTTAATGCCCAGGTGATGAAGACAGATATTGTCCCTCGTCATCTGTCACAAGCTTCACTGACCTTAATCATGCTAAACATTGATTGACTGCCACCTTATGTTTACAAGCACGACCATGCCAGTGTGAAGAGTAATGAAATGCAAAATCTGACAGTATTTTTAATAAAATGTTCACCATGAAAGATAATTTGTACAATCCAAAAGTCAGAGAGTCTAGAATTGGGAACTGAAGCATCTCCAGATGGACACTTACTTAGGCATTCAGTGAACAGATGTTATTTACCAGACAGACCATGCATCTGTCATCGGCATTTTAGAATTGAAATTTTTGTCTACATTTCAAACATTGCACTGAATTAGCTCTAACATGCAATAACAGACGAAATTAAAAACTATTAACAGATGTAAGGTAATTTAGCTTGTAAAAGTTTTTGAATGCTTTCTCCTTCATATTCAGACTGAAATATCAAGATGGCAAATTTTCAACCACCTTAAATATCTATCTGACTCGATACAATTGAAATACACAAAGTCAAAAGCTTTGTATGTCAGGTGGTCACAAATTGGAGCTCCACAGTCTACTTTTGGTCATAAGAAGGAGGTTTCAAGATTTAAAATAATAAATGCATTTCAGGAAAGAAATGCCCAATGGTAGAATTGAGTCAGGCAAAATGGTGCTTTGCTTGTTCCTGAGGCAGAACTGAGATGGTGTTCATTGGACACTGTATGGAGGTCTGCTGTCTTAAGATCTTTTACCTCTTTCCACATCCTCTCCTGTAGCAACATTTCTCCTAAAACCATACTGTGTGGCTTGCTGTTAGCCACTGGGTTGTCTATCCAATCTATGCCCCTTAATCCTCAAGATATTTCACCATCTTGTGTCACCAGAGGCTTAGCTGTGACCATTCAGTTCATCTCACCCACAGCTACAGATTGCAGCCAATGTTATACCATTGCTATTATTCACAGAAGATTAGCAACACATTAACATGTAGATTTTTTTTTAAGTCCTGCAAAACTTACCAGGCAATTTGTGGCGTAATCGAGAAGTTCTTTACGTCTGGGTGAACTTCGGGGGAGCATTGTGAGATTGGCTTGGCTTATTAGCTCAACCATGTGGGGGCACAAAGCTTGAGGAATGAGCTTCAGTTCGTTAATATCCCTGAAAAATATATGACAGATATGTAACAACAACAATTAACATTGACTTAGGGTCCTAAAAGAAGGAAAAATGTGTGAGAGGAAATAATAAAGAGACATAGGTCAGGTGACTAAAAGAAGCTTGGTCAAAGCAGTGGTTCCGAAAGGAGTAGGAAATGGTGAAGAGAAATTCTAGAGCGAGGAGCCTAAATGTCAGAAGACACGGCTATAAATGCTGGGACAAAGTTAATGGGAGATGTGTGAGAGACTAGGGCCAGAGGAATGGTGAGAGTACTTCACTGGAAAAAGAGAATAGAGAGCCTTTTAATGGGATTCAGGAGCTAAAAAGAGAATAGAGAGCCTTTTAACGGGATTCAGGAGCTAATACAAGTAGTGATATACATTCGCAAAAACAGTAGTCAGACACAATTGAATGACCTCACAAGTTTAAATCTATTGGTTAAAAAAGACTTGTGATATTCAGAAAACTAGAAGTATTTTTGCGATAAATATACAAAAAAAGTTTGTTTGTCATTTTGTGCTTCTTCCACTCACACCACAATAACTCCCTCTTTATGTCACAATAAATATTTCCCTCCAAGAGTGAGGAGTTCAATGGGAAAAATGTTTTGGTAACATGACATTTTGTATAATTCTTTAAAAATAGACTGTGACATGGCACGTGATTCTTTGATTCCCTGGCTTATGTTCCCATGTTTTCTTAATTAAAATTACTGTTCTCTGGAGACATTTTACCAGAGGCAGGAAATTATAGTTTATTTGTTTTAACAGGAACCAACTCGAAGGACATATTATTAAAACTTTACTTCAGCTCTCAAATTGACTTGAAAATCCACAATCATTTCGAAAATTTTTTGTTTCCATCCTCAAAATCTTTGAGAGATTTTACCCCTGTCTTGGGCCAGCCATTTCATAAGTTATTGTACTACAGGTTTCAGCAGCGATAGATTCATGGAGCTTATTGACATGAAAGCATTTTATTACCTTGCAAATTTGGCCCAGGATCAGTGGAGAGATTCAGTCGGACAGAGGACAAATGTGTAATATTGTGCTCTTTTAAATGAGGAGCACTAGTTGAAGAAATGATGAGGCTGAGTGGTCTCCTCCCATGCTTTAAGTGTATGTGATGCTATGGAGTGGAATTGGCTTCCCCTATCTGATGAGTTCACAATGTGTGTCTTAAGTGACAGTATGTAGACATGATGTGAAGGTGCCGGTGTTGGACTGGGGTGGACAAGGTCAGAAATCACACGACACTAGGCAATAGTCCAACAGGTTTATTTGAAATCACAAGCTTTCGGAGCGCAGCCCCTATCATTGCACAAAGCTTGTGATTTCAAATAAACCGGTTGGAATATGATCTGGTGTCGTGTGACTTCTGAGTATGTGGACACTATATACACTTACAGCACCTACAAATTGATATATATTCATTTCTACACAAATCAGTAATAGTTGGCATATGTCCATCCACATGAAATGTCAGTCTTCAGGACATATACAACAAAAGGAAAAGAAAGCCAAGCATTTTTATCAGAGATAGTAGGAACTGCAGATGCTGGAGAATCCGAGACAACAAGGTGCAGGGCTGGATGAACACAGCAGGACAAGCAGCATCATAGGAGCAGAAAGGCTGACGTTTCGGGCCTAGACCCTTCATCAGAAAAGGGGGAGGGGAAGGGGGTTCTGAAATAAATAGGGAGAGAGTGGGAGGCGGATAGAAGATGGATGGAGGAGAGGATAGGTGGAGAGGAAACAAACAGGTCGAAGAGGCAGGGATGGATCCAGTAAAGGTGAGCGTAGGTGGGGAGTTAGGGAGGGGATAGGTCAGTCCAGGGAGGACGGACAGGTCAAGGGGGCGGGATGAGGTTAGTCGGTAGGAGATGGGGGTGTGGCTTGAGGTGGGAGGAGGGGATAGGTGGGAGGAAGAACAGGTTTAGGAGGCGGGGATGAGCTGGACTGGTTTTGGGATGTTGTAGGGGGAGGGGAGATTTTGAAGCATTTTTATGTCAGTTTCTGTTGACTTGGCAAACAAAGTGCAAGAACGGATTATCAGACACAAGCCATTTGCAATTTGCCTACAGTCTGTGCCCAAACTGAGAGGCCTGAGGAAAGGCCATTAATTGGGCCTTCATTGGCAGGGCAGCCTGAAGAATCCTCAGCCCCGCTCTGCTCATACAATGCTATTTGGCAAAGAAGCCCAGAATAGGCGTTCAGTTTTTTATATTCATTCACTCGACGAAGGCATCGCTGACCAGACAGCATTTATTGCCCATCCCTAATTGCCCAGAGGGCAGTTAAGAGTAACCACATTGCTGTGGGCCTGGAGTCACATGTAGGCCAGACCAGGTAAGGATGGCAGTTTCCTTCCCTAAAGGGCATTAGTAAACCAGGTGGGTTCATCACCACACACAGGTCCTCACCCCTATTTAAAGACATAGGGGACCTACTAGATTACAGTGCTTTTTAATGAGCTGCCAGAAGAAGTGGTGGAGGCTGGTACAATTACAATTAAAAGGCATCTGGATGGGTACATGAATAGGAAGGATTTGGAGGGATAGAGGCCAAATGCTGGCAAATGAGACTGATTAATTTAGGACATCTGGTCAGCATGGATGAGTTGGACCAAAGGATCTGTTTCAGTGCTGTACATCTCTCTAAGTCCTGTTTCAGACGAGATTGGACTTTTTTCCGGTATGCTTGAAACTTGTCTCTGAGATTAGCCCTCATGAACACCTACAAAATGGACAGGATGAAATGCAAATCTGGCCCCAGGAATTGAAAATTGTTAATTTGCAAACTTCTCAGTAGATCATAATAAAACATAGTTCATCTCAGAATCTGCAATTTACAGTCATTAAACCTTGTGGCCTTAAAGGGACAAGCTAGATACACAGCAGAGCTATACACTGAAGGCAATGCTGGACAGTCATCAAAAGCAACTGACCCCCTCCACTGGTTACATCTGATGCAGGTGGCACACAGACTTCATGCTGCCTGCTCATTTTCTGATTGTAGCAGGCAGAAGAGTGTTAAATATGCTGTTGACTGCTAAAATGTGTTAGAGCCCGTTTGAGTCTGACAATCGCCAGCTGCCGCTGCAGGTGTGTATAGAGAGGAGAAAGGTAAATTCTCAGAACTTCACAAATTACTTTTTTAATGTGTCAAACAAGACATCTGTTGCTTTTATGTTTTATTACATACTGGACCTTATATATTTTCCCACAAACTGAACTCAAACCTATTTATACACCCACGAGGGTCTTCTGACATGCCCTAAATAGACACAGAATATTAAAGCTAATACCTAATCAGGATAGCTGCTGCTTACGAGGCCTGATACTGGCCAGGCGCTGCACTCAGTGTTGTTTCCACATCCTTAACATAGGGCCTGCTTCTGCAACGGTTGGTCTCTGGAGTTTTCATTAGCTTCATGCCTGAGAATCTTCTTCTTATCCTTTCTCTTATCACTCGTATTGTCTCTTTCCCATTGGCTCAGGCTAATTCTCTTATCACATGCCTTTACCTTATTGGCCCTGGCCCAGAGACCTAGGTAACATTACCTCATTATTTCTCATCCAAATAAGGCTTTTGCATTACTTCAACTTCCTTATTTTTTGCAAAATTTATTTAATTCAAACCAGTTTAAATTGGCTCAAAATAGTACCTGGGATCAGGTCATTTTTAGTTCACAAGCTGCTTCTTTCTTCATGTCAGCACCTTTGCATTCAGTACCTCCCATTAGTGATGTCGGTGGCTGGTACCCCTCATTCTGTTTATCCTTCTGCAGCCTCTGGCAAACAAGTCCCCAGGCAGCGATGTCAGCAGCTTGTACCTCTCTCTCTCTCTATCTATCTCTGTGCAGCCTCTGGCTAACAAATATTTCAGCAGAAACCCAAGTTCATGCAAGAGCAGCATCATATAAAGCTAGCCTCTACTACTTAAACCCAGATTGTGAAAATCGAGGCTTATTCTGCTTGCAACAAATGCTAGAAAAGGCTGGGCTAAGAACTGATCTGCAAGCAGGGGTCGAATTGGTTTACAGGGGAGCGACAATTTGATATAAGTTCTAAGAGAATATACCGGAGGCCTTGGGACGGCAGATGGAATGCTGGATAGACATTGTGAAGCACTGAGTTCAATTCGGGCAATTTCAGCAAAGCTCATGACAAATCTCGAATCCAGAAAACAATGTCACAAGAAGTTTACTGACCTCACAAGGGCGGTCAACGTCAAAGAATGCATCTGCAAATGCCGTATTCAATTAACTGAACCACTAACCTCAGAGATCTGTCACCCCCTTTTCCTTAGCTGCAGAAAATCCCTATCCATGACTGATTTCAATATTCATGGGTTTAACTCACTGTTGCACACCGCTGCATGCCTCACACCCACCTGTAGCAGGTGATACATACAGCCAGTCGGCAAATCATGGCATAAATTACTCATCCACATTGGATCACTCTCACTGACACCCTTCCTGTCTCTCACAGGACAAGGTGATGCATAATCGGATGAAACAACACTTTAGCTGGCAGAGACAAGCACAGTTAGCAGACTTTTATCCACCAGGGGAGATGGTGTTCCTCATTATTCAAGTGATCATGACTGAAGCTGTGGGCAGCAGTGGAGCTGAAACCATCTAAGATGACCAAATGTACATACCTATTCCTTCATTGCTCACCTTATCTCCCATTCCTGCCACTATTTTTTTTGACTGGAAAATTTTAGAAGGCAGAAGAATTTATCTCATGCTTGATAACACTGTCAGAAATTAACATTATGCCAAGTATGCATGTGTGAAACTTTATAAGATGGTTAAATGTTAAACTGCGTCTTTTGACTTGTGACAAACCATAATGTCCTGAAATGGGAGATGTTGAAAACTTACCATATTGCATTAATTCTGCTCAGATACAAACCCATGTGATCTTTTTGACAGTGGTCTAGAGGTCCGGGTCAAAACCCATAAAACCTAAGTGCCAGTGTGCACACCTTAAA